TGTCGACGGACGAAGGGAGCACTTCAACGTTTTAATAAAAGAAAACATCAATTTAAGTGTATAATATATTTAGAATATTTTCACTGTTTGACCTCGCCGTCAGACAGCCTTTTCCAAATTGAGACTAAATGTTATATTCATCTTTAAAGCAGTCTGTCTAAGACTTTTTGTAAAATACAGTTTCTAACCATGAAAATAAGTTAATGTTCCTGTTTACAAATCTCTTTATGTTTTGTCCTTCCTAAAAATACGACTAAGCTACAATTAGTGTGTTAGCTATAAGCTTAGTCGAAGGAATACGTCGGTTTTCTGTCTTTCCATGATTTTGTTTTGAAATATCATAAAAACTACCAGCACATACTAAAGGTTCCACTTTATTCTCAAAACTTAAATAAATATTTCTCTCTTTCTCTGCTCCTCTATGTTCTTCTTATGCCTGAGGCTAACACTCTTCCGTAGATAAATGAGAGTAATGAAAATCTCCCTGTCCCCTTGTAGAAACTGGTTGTGCCAAAAGGCATTGAGGTGACCAACCCCAAAGTCAGAGGCTGGTTTATCAACCCCATGGGAGAAAAGAAGCCCTTCCCCATCTGGATGATGGGTGCCTGCTGTGTACCAGCAGTGCTCGTCTTCATCCTCATCTTCCTGGAGTCCCAGATTACAACGTGAGTGACAATATAAAATAACGGCATTATAGTCTCCAATATGACTTTGTGTTTAACGTTGTTGTTGTCTGATTGCCAGGCTGATTGTGAGCAAACCTGAAAGGAAGATGGTGAAAGGATCTGGTTTTCATTTTGATCTGCTCCTCCTGGTCATCATGGGGGGCATCGCCTCTATTTTCGGGGTGCCCTGGCTGAGCGCTGCTACTGTGCGATCAGTCACCCACGCCAACGCTCTCACTGTCATGAGCAAGGGTCCCAAACCAGAGATCGAGAAGGTGATTGAGCAGAGGATCAGTGGAATCCTTGTGGCCATTATGGTTGGTAGGTGCTGCCATCTACAGTGCTGATGCACAAACAGCAGGCTCTGAACACATTTCCATTTTGAATACATTTGTCATAAATGCACTTTTTATCCCATTTTAAGATACAGATAATCTTGGCAATGTCGTAAGTGGCAACTTGGCTATCAAGAGACCCGTATTGGAAAAAGGTATTGTGCTTTTAATAATTATTCACTTTCTGTGATTTCAAGGTGCTTCTATTTTCATGGAACCTATTCTGAAGATGATTCCCATGACCGCCTTGTTCGGAATCTTCCTCTACATGGGTATCACCTCTCTGAGTGGAATCCAGATGTGGGACAGGATGCTTCTGCTGATCACACCAAAGAAATACCATCCCGCTGAAGCCTACGCCACCAGGGTACACAGCCTCCTCAAATACACTTCAGGACCTTGTTTAATTATACAATAATGTGGAAGGCCCTTTTGTCTGACGAACACAGTATCATGTCCAAATATATTCACTGCCTCATAGTGTTTACACACAACACTTTATGGCTGTAAATGCTTAAATTCATATTTAAAGTAGTGATTCAGCTTTTTGTATTACATTGTTGTTGCCAGTATGCGTGATACTTTATTTATTAATACTGCTCTATGCCATCTCAGTGGACAAATATCCTAAGATTATTATCTTTTTTTGCCGCATTTGTTTTTGGTGCTTTCACATCTATGTGATTGTTCTGTATGATCTATGTGGTTGCTGTGAAAGTATTTGTAGTTTTCTCTCACTTTTCAAGTTGTAAGGAGTCTCTATGTGGTGGTTTTGTGTTGTTTTGTGTCTTTATGTTGTCAATTGATGTCATTGTTTGTTCTTAGTTTTTTTCTGGTGGTTTTGTGTCCAAGTGTAGACCATTTGCTAAGGTCATTTTGTGTCTAACAGTCACTTTAAAACAAGGCTCTGGCCTAGGAGCCCACTGACCCCACAACACTATTTCATTGGATTGCATGGGCGTTCAGTTTTTTCCACCTGTATTTCAATCTTATTTAACCTATATTCTTTCAGTAAATTATCCTAACCCTAAAATAACATTCCTTTTCTTATGATTTAATATTACTCTTTGGCAGTGCGTTCCACTGCTAACACGCTTCTCTGTTGTCACTTATTCAGGTGAAAACAATGAAGATGCATCTCTTCACTGCCGTCCAGCTCGTGTGCCTGGGTTTGCTGTGGGTGGTGAAGATGAGTGCCTTTTCTCTGGCGCTGCCTTTTGTTCTCATCCTCACCATCCCTCTGCGCATGTTAATGACCGGCACAATCTTCACTCCCCTGGAAATGAAATGTGTAAGTACATCTCTGCATCAATGACGACACTCAGGCACACATTATAGCGTTGTTTCATACTGTTTCCCTGTTGTAACTGGATGTGTTTGCTTTGCAGCTGGACGCAGATGATGCCAAAGTGACGTTTGAGGAGGAACCTGGGGTAGATGTGTACGATGAGTGCCCACTGCCATAAACAGTACATTAATGTTTCACAAACTTTTAAATGAAATCAATTGTCAACTACAGGTAATTGTGTGAACATTAAACATAGGGTGTCTTTAAAAATATGTAATTGTAAACATATACAGTTTAAAACTTCTGTTATTATTATGTATCTTTAAAGAAATGTACCTCTTATTTCTAGAATGCATACACTTATATACTTAACTTATATATTGAGTTATGTTTTTGTTTGAGTTGATACACTTGACTTATTTACATGCAAGATTTGTTTTCCTTGAGACGTGAGGTAAAACTATTTAGAATATTCTTTCTTTCTTTAAATGTATTACAACAGTATAGCTTTAAAGTGACTCCCAGTGCTGTCGCATATAGACCTGCACATATTATGATAAAATGATTCCACCTCACTTTATGTTTGCTATTTAATTTTTAACATTTTGCCCTTTACATGTGCTCAAATAATACATTTCCAGGGCATTTTCACACCAGCCTTTTCCCCATACAATAACCTTTATTAATTCTCAATTATATGTTTTGAGTTGTGTTATGAGTTTTCACTATTTGATGTGTGTATAGAAAGATGTGTAATGCACTTATATTTGATTTTAAGTGTGTGATTGCTTAGATAGTGGATGAGATCAATTGTGTGCGCCAATTGTTATACTGGTGATATAGTCAGGGAGAAATGTATTTGTAAATGTACCTTATAATGCCCGTTCTTGTGTGTGTGTGTGTGTGTGTGTGTGTGTGTGTGTGTGCCTGAACCACTGTACATGCTTGATTGGATTGTATGAATTCTCATTACAAATAAAAAAAAATCCTTTAAAGTCCTTGTTTAACTTTTGACTAATGCATTAGAAATGCTATAGTACAAATCACTCGTAGCTCACTTTTGAACAGGAGAGGGGTGTTCACTTGAACCAAGAGGCTTGCCACTCAGCTGCATGCTGCCTTCAATGATATCAAGTAAACTCTAACCTCTATACTTCTACTTTGAAAACACCATAGATGTCGTAAATACATTTGTTCTTAAATAACAAAATATACAAGAAAACAAAAATAAAGCAGCATTCCAATTAAAGCGTGATATGGCTGTCAACAAGTGCTCAGATTTGTATTTTTTCGATTATTTTATTTATGTGATTAGGCAAAGATTAGCATTAATAAACAGACTGGGAAGGTTTAACATATAGATATTTTATTGATACCAATAACTTCAACGTGTCATACATATATATGCTTTTAGTTAAATTAAATAAGAAATGATTGAATACAAAATCATTCAAATAACTACAGACAAAAAATTATAAGACATTTCAATTAACTTACAATCAAAATAGCTAATATGTCATCTTTATTTAATTCAACATATCCGTATATTATTCAACTTCTATGCATGTATATGCCATAATGTTCAAATTCCCGACAGCAAGGGAACGCAGCACAGTTTAACAAGGCCGAGTGCCTGAAAGTCATTTGTTTTCCCTGAATCACACCGACTGGATTGGACGGCCGGGAGATCCGCCCACAAGCACGCAAGGTGGAGTTGAAAAGAAACAACATGCTGGGCCAAAATGAAGCTGTCAAACAGCCTCTTACTACTTGCCAAAATAGGAATCGAGCAATGTGAAAGTAAATGAAGGCTGGTGGACCAATTGAATAGTTTCAAGTTGGAAGCTGACGTTTATAAGCGATTTTATTTTTTATTTTTTTTAAATGTATATTTAATTAAAACTATTAAGTTATTATTGTATGTGAGATTTGTTGGTTTCAATTAAATTAGACACACATTAAAAAAACGTTGGCTCTCATGAAACTTTCCCGATTAAATATTGCGGGTTGAAGAACAGACATGGCCGTCTATGGGAGTAAAGTAGTAATCGCTCGGTTGGGCTCAGAAACAACGATGCGAGGTAGGAAAAAATGGATGTCTCCGCGTAGCGAAATGGTTGGATGGAGAGAGAGGAGCTGCTGTGCGTTGAGTGGAGGGAGACGGCGAGTGAGATGGAGGCGGGGGGGAAGGACCATCTCTGCGGGGACTGGAGCCCAGGACCGACGGCGCAGTGCTGGCTATCGTTCAACCCTCCCCTTCTTCCTCCACAACCACACCGAAGCTCACGCCGAGAGACAGGTAAGCCAACTGAACAACCGCGGGGTTTCATAATAGGATGAAAGTTCGCGATAAACCAACAACAGCGTTTATAGCCGCATAATCGACCTTTAATGTTTTGATTGTGTTTACTAATAAAGCACGTAGGTTGGCAGCCTTTGTAGAAGCGAAACAATCCGACCGCTGTTGCAGGGTACAGACGAGGTCGGCCATAGCCGAATTTGTTGTCCTATCCAGCGGGGGAAATTGCATGTAACACCCGGAGGTAAATGTGTTATTTGCTAAAAAATTACATCAAGATACTTTTTTATACTAATTCCCGTAATCTAAAATCGTCTATTTGTACTGTAACCGGGGTATTTTCGTGTGGAAATGCACGGTGGTTTCCGCGCGGAGACCTCCATGCGGCTGTTGGCGGAACAGCTAGCCGCCTCTCTCGGTTAGCCATCAGGGATCTCGGTTTAATATCTCACCGTGCAGAGACTCGCCCTATCTCTCCCCCTCTCTCTCTCACTGACTAGCCCTGGAACACCGACGACCGAGCTCGGAGAACCCGCCTTCTTGTTCTCGTTTATACGCTTTTTGGATCGAGGGAAGGGAGTCTGCAACGCCCTGGGTTTAGTTTTAAGCTCCGTGTTTTGTGTGTGCAGTGCGCCATTGGACCTTGTCACGGTAGGTTTCCTTAGATCAGAGCTGAAGCATGGCGGACCTGGAGCTGTTTGTCGCGCCAGTGAAGCTTCTCAGCCTCGGTTGTTAACATGTTTCCTTTTAGCGTTTACCTTAAAATGTAGGTACAGTTGAACCTCGTTGTACTGTAGCCGAAACCTCAACCAGCTACTGTTTAAACGAATTGGCTCGCAAAGTATCGAGGTTGTAACGTTTGACCGTTAAACAATTTTTTTCCATTCTTTCTTGGTGCGCCTCCGCAAGTCCCTCCAACCGACCACCACGAGCTGTATCCTGGGCATGAAAATGTGTTGAAAAAAATAATGTAAAAATACCGTTAAGTTTAACATAGGTTGACGTTTAACGTTATCTCACAATATAACCGTTAATCAACTGTTTTAACTTGTAACAGCCAATCTGTCTACCTCCGGGAGATCTTTTTTAAATGCATACGCAAAGATTTAGACAATATTTGTATCAAATGTTAAGTGTCAAAAATATGTAGGCTATTTGAACTATATTAGAAGTCAAGATTTCAGCTTCACTTGGTGTTCCAATTTGCCCTTGGCCGTATTGTCTCAGATCTCGAGTTTGTACTCCTCCATATGTTGTCATCTTTATGAAATTGTTAAATATGTAACGTTCAAAAGTCTCCAGATGTACGTTATGGAAGCTTTTTGGTTACATAAATGGTGAAATCGATTGTTTTAAGGTAGCTAGGTTACATCGTGAACACCACAGTGAGCTGGGGCCATCAAGGACACGATGAACAACAAGCAGCCGCCATCATTGGAGCACAGCTCGGCTACGCCTCGCTGAAGAATGCTCTAAAATCTTGATGTTGAACGCCAAAAACCTTAATAATCCGGTCTTTAAATACTCTTAAAACACATTTATTTACTGTAAACGAATATTATATTGGTTTCCTGGCTCCAGTTTCAGTCAACGGTTAAGGAAAAGATTATAGGGTTGCATGGCGGATCTAGATCCGCGTCCTTCGGTGATGAGGCGCCTCTTCCGAGTGGCGCATTTGGCTGCAGTGCTTCCAAGCCACCATTCCCCCTCGTCGGAGACCGAAAGCAGATCCCTCGTCCGTGGTCAGCTGGTCGCCTACAGCTGCCTGTCTGTCCACGTCCATTCGCTTCCTCCTTCCGTGGATCCTCCCCAAACTCGACAGAAAACCCTCCATTACCGAGCGGAGCGGGCGAGAAAATGGGCGCTCCTGTGTGTTCACGATACTTTAGTTGTGGACTATAGGACGGTACTAATACGTTATATTCCGGCTGGTGAAATTTGCTCGACGGAGACTGCAGTTGTCTAGTTGTGCCAGTTGAAGCCCTCTGCAGTGTTATTTGAGATTTGAAGCCGTCACAAGCAAAAGCCTATGTCTCACCATGTAGCGTAAACGTTTAAGGGGCGGTGTAATGAACATAAACCATTATGTCAAGGCAAATTTAAATTCCACCACTTTAATTCATCATAGTTGTTTCTTCACACACATGTCCCATTCTATGATTAATATACTCACGAAAATTATATAAACATAAAATATGATTTTGAAAAAAAGAAATAAAAAAGCTTTTCTTGTTATATGAGCAAAGTATGACCGTCATATAATGGGTTGCAATGCTTTTCTTTCTTTATTAGTCTCTCTATAAATGTTTGATTTTGATTGTTCTGTTGTATTTTGTAGATTGAACACAGTATAACCACAAATGAATGGAGCCATGGAGGCAACCACCCAAGACAAAGGTGTGGTATTGACATGTATGGACATCATTTTATTATTCTTAACACTCCCACAATGACAGTACATTTGCTATTGTGAACACTTGGTATAAACCTAAAATAATGCATATTATGTCATTTACTATACAGGTCACTGTAGCATAGAACGTCAAACAATTCAGACAAATTGATTAGTCACCATATGGAAAAACAATTGCAAACTAGTTTTACAGACATTTTTAATTAAAACCCTATTGTAGCAATTATAGCGATGACACCCTTTTGAGAGTAAACAACCCCCAAATGCATGATTTATTCATTAATAACAGAGTATTTTATTGTATATCATACTATAAAATCACTATATTTATATAATATGGACTTGTTTCAAGAGGGAATCCCTAACTGGAAAACATTTTAGACACACAAAGGATAATATAACTAGTTTTGTATCTAAGGAGTCAGATAAGCAGAATGATCATTTTTGTGTCATTGTGTATTTTTGTGTTATTAGTATGGGCACAGGACGACCTCTTAAAACTGCTGGAGGCCATGAAACTGGCCCTGCCTCAGAAGGACCTGACCAAATACAAAACATCAGAGTCCCACCTTGACTGGACGAAGGTGGCCTTCAATTCCTTCACAGCAGAGATGTGTAAGCAGAAGTGGTCGGAGGTCTCTAAAGAGGTGAGTCAGTTTAAGTTTGTAATGTAGTATTTATGAGGATTGCAACAACAGTCGGATTTTGTTGGTTTGATACCAAATGTGGACTTACATAAAAATACTTTTCTTGTCTTTCTTAATTACAGATTCGTAAATTCCGCACTCTGACAGAACTGATATTTGATGCCCAGGACTATATCAAGAACCCATACAAGGGCAAAAAATTAAAGGTTTGTTAAACATTTCATTTGACTCTACTCTTAAAGGTCTTTTCTGTGTTAGAGTTTTACTCGCTACAGGGTGTACTTTGAGGGTTTGTGACTCTGCAGACCGTTTACATGCATAAAAACCTTCATAACACACAAGGGGACGGGTAATAACTGGAAAAGCATGACATGTGACGTTTCACTTTATTCCCCATCCCACATGATATACAGAAACACCCAGATTTCCCCAAGAAGCCCTTGACTCCATACTTCCGCTTCTTCATGGAAAAGAGGGCGAAATACGCAAAATTGCACCCTGAGATGAGCAACCTAGACCTTACTAAAATTCTCTCTATGAAGTACAGAGAGCTTCCTGAAAAAAAGAAGGTCAGCTAAAAGCATGGATCTGAGGTGCAGCTAAAATTGTGATTTTCAACTTGTCTGTTTCTAATTGAATCCTTGTTTTTTCTTCTTCCTCATGGCTACAGAAAAAGTATGTCGAAGACTTTTTAAGAGACAAAGAAACATTTGTGCACAGCATGGCGAAGTTCAGGTAAGATTATGTGTTACTATTGTTAATATTTACATTTATAATAACACTGGGGATGTTAGATCTGCACCTGAAGCATTATTAAAGACGACAACTGTCCTTAATTGTTGTGTACATATAGAGAACTACACCCGGACCTAATGGAAAGCATGACGAAGAAAAGTTCAAATGCACCAGAAAAGCCCAGGACACCCCAACAGCTGTGGTACAACCACGAAAAGAAGGCTGTCCTCAAGACACGCCCGGATGTAAGTCAAGACATTTAAAAACAGGGTCGGGGAGTTACTTCACAAAATATATTCTGATACGATTTCTAATGACCTAAATGTAATCAGTAACTTGATCCAAGCATCACAACATTAAAGTAAGGTAACTTGGTTACTGAAGTATTTTCAGGCTGCAATACCTCTCACAAAACATGCTTTGCGACAACTTGCACATTACTCTGCAAATAATGTGTGTATTGCATTACTCCCCCAGCCTGCTTCAAAGCCAACATGTATAATACATAATTGTATGATGTGACGGATGTTTACTTTGTTCGAAACCAGGCAACAACCAAAGACATTAAGGAGAGTCTTGGCAAACAGTGGACGCAGCTGTCTGACAAGAAGAGACTCAAATGGATTGCCAAATCCCTAGAGCAGCAGAAACTTTACGAGGTAAGACTACTGTGGTGTGTGTGATATGATGTTGGTTAAAATATATTAGCTATTGTGGAAGAATCAGGAACTGCTATAATGGCATACAGTCCATCTTTCCACATTGTTGACTGTTTGCAATACTCTAGGAGACAATGCGGGGGTACATCCAGCAGCACCCGGAGTTAAACATGACCCAAGGGGATATCTCCAAGTCCACCCTGACCAAGGCAGAGAGGCACCTGAAAGACAAATCTGAGGGCCGACCTGACAAACCTCCTCCGTGAGTCACAGCTGCAAATTCACTGACTGTTGGCTGCTCCGCTGTCAATGAGTTGTGTGATTTGGGGATGGCTCTTGAACATAATGTTTGTGTTTCCTTCAGAAATGGTTACTCGATGTTCTGTGCGGAGTTGATGTCAAGCATGAAGGACGTTCCCAGCACGGAGCGCATGGTGATGTGTAGCCAGCGGTGGAAGCTGTTGAAACAGATTGAGAAGGATGCTTACCAGAAACGCTGTGAACAGGTCAGTCTAGAATCATCCTGTCAGATAACAAAGGAAAGATCAAACAAAAACAGTACTCTTGAGTTTTAAAATAAATGTAATTTGTATTTTTAGAGGAAGAAGGACTTTGAAATCGATATGCACGTATTTCTCAGTGTAAGTCTTAATTATTTTCTATATCCAACATCTAACAAGTATTTTGTTACAGCTATCAATGACCTAATAAGTGTGCAGAACTTTGCTTCAATAATTCCTCATGTGTATATCCTCTGCTGTACCTTTAGAGTTTGTCAGAGGAGGAACAAACCCGAGTTTTGTCTGAGGATAAATTAGGCTTTAAGAGAGGCGGAGCCAACAGTCCTGCGGCAAAAAAGAAGGCCTCCAGAGCAAATGTAAGATCAAGTATACACTCTTCACATTTCCTCAGATGCAAAATGTTTTCCCTTTTCTAGCTAACCAATTTGATCACAACACATTTATTTTATCCAAAGAAATTAGACTTCATATCAAATCACTTTAAGCTTGAATCCCATTCCCTACATGTTTGGTTTCTACATACTTTTAAACCATTTCATATTATATTTGGTGTTGTAGTGTCCTTTTCACACTTTCTTTATCACCCGTAGGTTATTCCAGAGAAACCCAAAAGGCCAGTTTCAGCCATGTTCATCTTCTCTGAGGAGAAGCGGCCCAAAATGCAACAGGAGCGTCCGGACGTTTCTGACAGTGAGATCACAAGACTCCTGGCTCGCATGTGGAACGAGCTGCCCGATAAGAAGAAGGTAAGGTGATATTGTATAAGGAATATCAGGCAATAGTGTAGATGCCTGGAGGGAAGACAAAATCATATATCATTAATTTCTATTTCTTTCTCTTATGATCTTGTTGTCTTTGTCTTTTAGGAAAAATATAAGCGCTTAGAAACGGTCCTGAAGGCAGAGTCGGAGAAGAAGGAGAAAGAGGATCGTACTCGACTGCCCGACCCCCCCAAGACTGCTCAGGACATCTGGCAGCAGAGCGTCATCGGAGACTACCTGGCCAGATTCAAGGTACGCATCGATGCCTTTCTCAAGAACACAAATATACTGCTGGAAAACTCACAAGATATTCCGCACAAGTTTATTAATACAAACCTGTGTTTTGCAGAGTGACCGGCCAAAGGCACAGAAAGCCATAGAAGCAACCTGGAGCATTATGGAGAAAAAAGAGAAAATCATGTGGATCAAAAAGGCTGCAGAGGACCAGAAAAGATACGAGGTTAGTGTCAATTCTCTGAGAAGAGCTCCACAGCATCCAATTACAGCAAGGTTTTGCATTTCAATACGTTTTTAGTTTTGATCTTTGATTTCATTTAAGTTTAGAATTATTTTTGTTTGTTAGATTGAAGTTGTTCCAGTTTATTCATGAAGGTTTCGTTTTTTCTATTTAGTTTGTTTGAGTAATGGCTAGGTGTAATGTCAAGTATAAAGCTACATTTGCTTTACAAATTATATTGTGGGAGAACTGCGTGGAAATGGCAATATCTTTATTTGTGACTACTTCACTACTACTCTCAGGTCACCATCTTCTGGAATAGGAGTTTGACAGAAATTCAGGCTTTTTCCTTTAGGTTGAGATATATTATGGCTGAAGGATATTTATTTAGTTTAGGACCATTTTTGTTGCTTCTTTCCTTTTTAAGTATCAGTTCTAGAAACCGCTCACAGTTGACTTACCTCTCAACAGAGAGACCTGTGTGAGATGCGCTCACCTGCTGCTACCATCGCCGCAGGGAAGAAGATGAAATTTGAGGGTGAACCCAAGAAACCACCATCGTAAGTCTGAAACATCCAACTTGTCTGTGCTGCCTTTTTGTGGGTATTATACTGAAACCTAAAAGTTGTGGTCGCTTGCTTCTGTCTGTCTAGAAACGGGTATCAGAAGTTCTCTCAGGAGATGCTGTCCAACGGAGAACTGAATCACCTCCCAATGAAAGAGCGGATGACAGAGATCGGCGCCCGCTGGCAGAGGTGTACACTGAAGGAGAAAGACCGCTACAAGAAGATCGCAGAGGAGAAGCAGAGGCAGTACAAAGTCCTTCTGGAACAGTGGCTTGGTGTAAGAACGGGTTGTTTGTAGAGGGGGCACATTTTTCAAGACATGTTGGGTACTTGACTTATCTAACGTACACTTTCATTCTTCCACAGAGCTTGTCTTCACAAGAGAGAAACACCTACAAAGAATATAATTCACAAGTACGTTTAATACTCTACTGTCATGGTTAGCACTGACTATGCTGTCACAAACTGGATTAGAAATTGTAATGCAGTTATATCTCGCGTTGACACTTTTTAAACTGTTTATCTGCATTTCTACATTTCAGAAAAGAAGAACTACAACAAAACTAGGAGGCCCCATGCCAAAGGCCAAGAAATCTGTAAGCAAAGTCTGTCTTTTTGATGCTGTTAGAAGGGCATCAATGATTCTCAAATGATGTATTGATCTGCCTATTATTTTCTATATTAATCAGTTGCTAACTCCATCCTAGTTCCTTGTCCAAGTTCATGTCTTTAAATGTCTGCTTTTATAATGTTTAAAATTCAAAGATATTCACTTTAATATAAGAAAAGAGTTCTCCATACTTAAGAATTTTGCCTAAACTGCATTTTTCATGTTTTTTTACACGACACAATAAGAATTGGCAATTATGACAATAATTTGACAATGTTTCATTTGTATGTGTGGTCATCAGTGTTACTGTAACGCTGTTATTTTTGGCAGTAACTAGTACTCTGACGCATTACTTTTTAAATTCAGTTACCGTTACTACATGGTGCGTTGCTGCGTTAGTTTTTTTATATAGGCGAACAGAGATGGGAACTGTACTTAAGTACAGTACTTGAGTAAATGTACTTTGATACTTCCTGTGTCACATGCGGAGACGGGCTGTGGGCGTGTTTGTGTTGTTTACTAACAAGACTATCATGGCGGCGGCGGAGCTCAAGTCTAGTTTCTCCACCTGGAGATATTCTCACTATTTCACTTTTGTCGAGCACAAAGAAAAGAAAGTTTCTGTTAAATGTAAGTTGTGTCTTGGCGGGTCAAAGATCCTATCTACTGCCCAAACCAGTAATTCAAATCTCTTAAAACATCTGCAAAAACAACATGCTGGCCGGGACGAAGCTAGTAGCTAAGACCACAGAGACTCAGCCGACGCCACTCCACCTCCACCTAAGCAACAGCGGCTGGATTTTAACCAAGGGACTGCTGGCCAGGGGAAAGTAGATAAAGCCATTGTTGTGTGTATGTTATAGAACACATGCAGGCTATTGCTACAGTGGAGTCACCCGCTTTCAGGGAGCTAGTTAGCATGATAGCATGTCCGGGCGGCACACGGCATATGGGACGGAACACTTTTTCCAACTACCTGGAGAAAGAATATACAAAAATGGAAAGCCAGCTAATATCGATGCAATCCAGATTGCATATAATGCATGTCAAGTTGATCAACAGATTGTATTATTCTCCAATGCAATAACAGTACTGAAATGAAGGCTATAAGGGCATTAATGGGAGCCCTTTTTCCAAGTAACTAAAACGTTACTTTTCACAGTAACGCATTACTTTTTGGTGTAAGTAACTGAGTTACTTTTGACATGAAGTAACTAGTAATGGTAACTAGTTACTGGTTTTCAGTAACTAGCACAACACTGGTGGTCATACCTGAAAATCTCTCTTCCCACAGGACACGGAGGAAGAGGACGATGAAGATGAGCGGGAAAAGGCTTCCACTGAGACATCCTCATCCAGCGAGGATGATGACGATGATGAGGTGAGTGTTGTCTCTCACTGCCATCAGACACGGATACCAAAAATAATTGGAAGTTGATTGTGCTATAAAAAAAACACTTTACTTTTTGTTTGATGAAGAAGGAGGCGGATGATGACGATGAAGACGAGGCAGAAGATAAGGAGAACAAGTCGGAGGACAGCAGCAGCGATTCGAATTCGCAGGAGTCGTCGGACTCTGATTCGGACTGAAACTTGCCGACGTCTTCGTGAGACAAACTGAGCAGCGCTGAGCTGAGCCAAGAGTCAAAGGAGCTCTGCCACTGTGCCAACCCTGCTCTCCTCCGCCCACCAGAGGGAGCCCCGCACCGCCTCATCCACCTCACACTCAATGTCACTGATGGTGATCTTACTCATTGAGGGACTCCGCCCCTATGTCCAAAATCAGTTTCATCCCCTCCCCCGCTGTGATTGGCATCTCACAGTACGGGCCGCTGACGTTATGCCAAAAACTCGTTCGGTGACGTCGTTGGTTTCAATCTTGACTTACAGGTTCAGGGTTAGGATAGAGTTTTAGTGTTGAGGGTAATTCTTAACCTTCCAGTGTTTTATTTTATTCTGGTAATTAGTTAAAGACAGGCGGCATGAGTTGTTAACAGGCTTCATAGAGCCGAAGAACATGGATCACTTTAGGGAGTGACGTGGGGAGGGGGGGGGTGGTTGTGTGTGCTGGGTAATGAAATATTGCACTCTTCAGAATGTTTCCCTATTTTTGTCCTATTTTTTTCTCAGAGCCTTGTCGCTTTGTTCTCTTTTCTCAATTTATGATGTAGATTTTATCATTTGGTTGTTAAAGAGGTGGTATTTTTTCAGGAAAAATAATCAAGCCATTATGAATGTCTTTTGTTGCTGGAAATTTTTGGGAATTTGTTACTAACTCATGTTCTCATTTAATAGATAGCAGTGCCTATATAAAGTATTCACACCCTTTTGGACTTTCATGTTTTATTAATTTATGGCGTTGCACAATGTGGATGCTTTGATACTCTCGGACAGAAAAAAAAAAAAGGTCTTTATACTGCATCATTACCATGAAATGTACTTATTTGTTCACTAATAGTGAGGAACCCTGTACACAACGATCTGCGATGTGTTTCAAAGTGCCGCGGACATTTCATATTTGAAGTATAACTGACATCGATTGCATCTAGTAAGACAGCAGCAAAATTGCCTGTAAGGAAAACACAAATGTATCTAAATATACAGCAAGTTTGGAACGCCCACAACATCATTAATCTCCATAAATGTGTTGTTTTTTAATCATCCCTGTGAATGTGTATTTTCTGTACATGTTCCTTTGTCTTCACAAGTATGTTTAATTACAGACTGAGCTTCTAGGTATAGGTTTCTTACTGGTCCCAATTTTAGTCACACAAGTGATCTCACTTCAACTTTTAAGAATCAGTCTGCAGCAGTCAATACCTTTTTATATTCATTAGTTTTTTTGATATAACTAAATGAAAACATCATTTGTAAAGACTTGTTCTGTTGTGTGTCAAAACAGCGTGTTTCCATTAGGCTTAAAACAGAAAGAGATTTAAAGAAGGTGAATACTTTTTAAAGGCGCTGCCATGTGTCTGTCATTTATTGAAGTTAACAGACATGTCTCGTACATTTTCAATTCTGTTTGTCTTAGTTCCTTCTGGCCTGACTGTAATGAACAGTGTGTATTGTGTGACCGAGCAGTTTGTCATTGAAGGGATAACACTGGTTTTCCACATGTACAGCTCAATCTGACTAAAGAATACAGATGGTATATGTTTGTTCTCCAAACTGTTGTTTTAGGTTTATGGTTTGAGTTAAAAATGTTTGTTCTATTGTGTTCTGATATATCTGGAATCATTTTGTTGAGCTGAATGGTTTTCATAAATTGTATTTTCTTTTGAATTTGTAATGCTATGGACTGTAATCTGAAAGGGTTGTAGTCTAATGCTTAATCCCAAAAAAAGTGTGCACTTAATGTAAATCTGTCCCTCCTGTGTGAGTTTGTGTGCATATATACACAAAGCTGTGTATATGTGAGTGTGTTTCTTTGCTTTAATGTGTGCTGTTTTTACGGTTTTGTTGCATACCATGATATGACTGCAGCGTGCATGTTTGTGCCTGTGTGGGGACGTCATACCAACACCATGAATGTAGATATTGTTAAATCTTTGAATTTTTCTTTCCAAAGGTCTTTAGTCATTTTTCTGGTTGGCGCTGTCGTGTCATTGACAAGATTTCCATGACTCATTATAGGTCCATAGACAAATGAGTACATCGCAACTATTAATAATCTGTTATTAATGAACTGATTTTGGCATATTGATAGATGGGAGTTTGTAAAAGGGATTTGGGCAAGTTGCCAGATGATTGGGGTTAAAAACTTGTAATTTTTCCTGTAAATACTGTTTTTGTATTCAGTGCTTATTGTTTTGTTAGTGCTTTCATTTGACAAACCCTCATCTGTGACTTCTGAGGCCAGTGAGTTTTTAACTCAGGGGAGAGCTTTTGGTTAAATTCACCTGTTTTAGTTGTTTATTCTCTCCCTTATGTTGGTTTATAGAGATATCTAAGACAGCAAAGCTTTACAAGTTTGTACTGCTGATCATTTGACAAAATGTGATGTTTTCTATAGCTGAGGGTGTTCTTATGTCCTTGTAGTTCAAGTATTTGGGCAAATAAAAAATGATCTTTAACAGTTGGTGTGTGTTCTGTATTAAGCATTGTTCGAAAGGATGGAGAGCCGTGGACACTAAACATACAACTTAAATAAGCTAAAACAATAAGATTATCTGTTAAAAGAAGTAATACTTTTTGATAGAAACAATTTTCATAAATTAATAGCTTTAGTTATTTGTCAAGCATACATTACCAACATTCACTAGTCTTGGCCTATTATTAAAATGTACGGCTTTTCTCTTTTAATTTACTACATTGTAAACAGAATGACATTTTGTCTTGCACAAAACAGGAACGTACCAGTTGAAACCAGAGGTCCCTGAAGTTCTGCGGTGTCCACTGTCCACATAGTGCATATCGATGTCTCCGATGAACTCATTCGTTCAGTCACAGCTATACGTTCACAAATGTTCGAAAATGCTGTGGATGCTTAAGTGGATGACTCACCCGCGCTGCTGGCCAATGGAGACCGACGTTGCCACATGGCCGCCATCTTGCTACAGGTATCGCTCTCATTCATAACATTATGGTTTACTATTTAAATAACCATAGCTTGCTCAATTTTCAAACGGTTTGGTTTTTTATAAACATCAAAGATGTAGTTATGATACTGCATACTTATAGTCATGGACTTTCATATGAAAATAACATTAAGCAGATAAAGCAATAGCTATACACACACACAAGGTATTTATATTAAATATTTGTATATATTTATTTCCATTTATTGTATTATATTGTTAATATTTAAAATAAATTATAAAATAAAAATATATTTTATATATAAAAATCGGTCTCATGTTGCCACTCTGTAAGGCCAAGAGTTGTTAATTTAGCAATGCCTTAGCTTGAAGAACAGGCACACAACTAATACAATAAGACAATAGCATATGGTGGTATATTATTTAGATATTCACACCTTTATCAGAAGAACCAAACCAACATAAAATTATCTCACAGACAGTGGCCAGTTCTGTTTTTGACATGAGATCTTCATATCGTCCTAGTTTTGTATTTAGTTTCTAGATTTGTAAACAAATCCAGAACCATTGAAATACGTTACCACTTCACAGCACGGTGCGCTGAGTTCTTGTAGTCGAAAAAAGCCCAAGAAGAACAACTTGGTGTGGTGTGGAGGGGATGTAGGAAGCAGGGGCAGGTGGGGAGAGATGGGGCTTCAAGGTTCAAGGTTATTTTTGTTTTAAATGTGTCTTGGAGATAAGGACCAGCTGCACACAATACAATACAGTATAACACAAAACCAATAAGACACAGTGACACATGTACAACACCTCACATTCAACAAGCATCACCAAAAATGGCCAAATCCAATTAACCACTTAAACCCAATTTGGGAAAAACACTTTAATTACAGCAGCATAAGGGACAAGGCATTTTACAATAAATTAGAAATAAGCAAGAAAAATAAAGAAAATAAAGAAAGGAAAATATACATGTTGGATTTGACAGGATATTATATATATACACATAAATACAAGGCAATATACATGTTGAGTTTGGCAGGATATTATATATATATATATATCTAATATACATATATATAAAGGCATATGGAATATTAATGTTAAATATTAAATATTGAACAGATTATATATGTGTAAAATGTACAACGTGGTTTTATTACAAGAGAAACTATGGAGCAGAGAGTTCTCTTCCAGCCAGAGGTGATTTATTGTACAGTGTTATTGCAGTGGGCAGGAATGTTTTCCTGTATCGGTCCTTGTGACAGCGGAGCTGCAGCAGTCTGTTGGAGAAGGAGGTCCTGTCTGTCCAGTTGCAGGTGGAGAGGATGGGTAGGGTTATCCATGATGGACAACAGCCTGTTCAGTGTCCTCCTCTCCACCACAGCTTCAAAGGGGTCCAGCTTGATGCCGATGACAGACCCAGCTTTCCTGATCAGTGCGTGTGTGATCAGTGCTGGAATTGGGCCGGTACTCACCGGTACGCAGTACCGGCACTTCTGGTTCTGACCCATGGAGTACCGGCACTTCTTGCTCAGTACCGGCATGCTGGCGGTACTCCGGTACTCATGCACCGTGCCAGTACTCAACACTCTTATAGTATAGTATAGTATTATACATCCATATATACAGTGGCGTTTTTATATGTACAAAAGTGGTGGGGCACACAAAACTTAGATGTCTATATATAAGCTTCTGCAGTGAGGTTCATGGCTGGTGAGGCACTGGCTCTGACTCTTCAGGTTTACAAATATTATATTTTGACCTAAATCTAAATATAATATTATTTTCAAAAGCTTTTTTTGTCTGATGCTTCAATTAATTTTAAACAGACAGTTCAACAAAAGGATACCCAAAAAATGTAATTGTATCATTTAAATATTGAATTGTTCTCTCTTAGTAAGATCCCATTTTCAATCAAATTGCAGTCTTACCTTGACATGAAGATGAAGTCCATTTGCCTATCCCTCTGGACAAAAATCTCTATTACTTTTTTGTAAAAGTCATAAATTATAAATCATAAATCTGATCTAATCAATAGATTTATGATTCGAAAATTATAAAAGTAGGGTAGACATGTGGATATTATCCGGCTGAACAAAACGTGCATTTATCTAACAGGTTTGTTTCCCACAGATCTTATTTGGAGCTATTTTCTAAAATCCTATGGAGAAATATCATTGCTTTTTTGTGGAGGGAAGCCATGCGCAGTTTATTTCCGGGTTGTAGGACGCCTCACTGCAGCTCTCTCTCCTCCTCTTCACACACCACACTTTTCGCGGCACACGTACTTGTACAGCCAATCAGCTCTGAATTATGTGAGATGACGTATGGTGGGGATGGCAGCACTATGCCCCTATGGTCCTTATTTTTTTGCCACACACATTAAATAGGACAATACTCTGAGCATGCGCAGTGTAGTTTTTACAGTCACCATTGACTTAAACAGGGAGAGGGAGGGGCAGGATCGGGTTTTGTCCCACATGGCTCAAAACAGCTCAATAGGCACACACTCTAGACACTAATTAGAAGAACACAGACTAAAACAGCAATGTACAGACGAATCAGATGATTAAACATGATCTTAAAATATATTTTATATATTTTTTAATTTATTTTTTGCATTTTTTTGTAATCATTACTTTTAATACTTTCTGCTGACACTAGGTGGGGCTGTGCCCCACCTGCCCCTAATGACCAGTCGCCACTGCATATATATATATACAGCCGCCCGGTACTCAGTAGATGCGTCATGAGGTGCCGAACGGACATTCTCATCGCTCTAACCGCTGGAGTTTCACAGCGGCTGTCAGCTGTTTACTCCTGTCATTCAAACAGAACGTGCTGGAGAGGGGGCGGGGCTTATCTTCTCCATGTAAATACTGTGGTGGAAACGACTATGTCAAAATTAACCTATTTGACCGTGATTTAATAGTAATACACGTTTCAAAATAATAATAATAATAATAATGCCGAAGTAACAACATACTGAAAACTGTTAGTAAAACCATGTTTTAATGCTTTACAATTTACATACCTAGATGCACGTGTGTTGTGTTTATGCAGTGCAACTCCCACCCAGTGGGTGGCTATGTAGAGTGATAGAACAGAGCAGGCACGCCCCCGAGAGAAGGAAAGCAAGTCACGTCACAATTAGCATTTCTAAAATGTTAGCTTGGATTAATAAAAGTGCAAAAAGACAGCGGTTGTCGCCGGAAGAAACTTCAAATACAGAGAATGCTGTGCCTGTGTTGGAAATTGTGTCTGATGGGGAGCTTTCTTTGGTTGATCCTCCTGCTCCAAGTTCTAGTGCATTAGCATTAGCACTAGCTCCGCCGCCTCCTCCAGAGCCTCTAAAGTTAGCTGCTGCTGGCGCAACTGCCACCACCAACACCGGGCAAAGCGATGCACCTGACTGCTGGACAACGGACCAGGTGCAATATTTTTGCACAGCCTGCCTGGCACGTAACAAAGACCAATGCATGGCTCCTTCTTAAAGATAAGAAGCTAGGATGTCGGATATGCAGAGATGTCAAATCTTTGGGAATACACACTGGACAAGGACTGAAACTGTCAACTGAATGGGGTGAGTGTGCAGTGTCTCATTTCGGTGTTGACAAGGGCAAACAACAAGCTAGCCTGAGAAAAAAAAATCAAAGAACATAAAGAATCACAAGCCCATGTAAAAGCTGCTGACATCCTTACATCTGCTTCACGTGAAACTATTCAACATCAAGTGCAGTCTATGCATAAATCTGAATTAGACACCACTATCAGAGTTTTTCGAACGGCATATAAAATTGGCAAACATAGCCGGCCATTCACAGACATGCCAATTGATTTGAATGTACAGAAACTGAATGGGCTGAACGTGGGCAGGGTTTTGCACTCCAATAAAACCTGTGGCGAAATCATCGACCACATAGCTCATGAGCTGAAGAAAAAAATGGCAAAAGACATTACAGAAAACCAAAGAAAACTCTGTGTTTTGGTCGATGAATCTACCACTATTAGTGGTAAAACGGTGCTTGTTGTGTGTCTACGCTCAGCATTAGCTGATGCTGAGCCCGAAACGTTTTTTTGGGAGCTGATCGAGTTGGATGGAACAACGGCTGATGACATCACAAAGGCGTTAATGGAGTGTCTTGGAAGAGATTTTAACGAGGACTTTTTAGGTCAGTGTTTCGTTTCTTTTGCATGTGATGGGGCTTCAGTCATGCTAGGGAAGAGAACAGGCGTTGCTACCCAGTTGTGTAGTAAATTCCCAAGCCTGTTTGTGTGGCACTGCTCCAATCATCGTCTAGAGCTGGCAGTTGGGGATGTGGTCAAGGAGGTCTCAGGGCTCAATCATTTCCAGATCTTTTTTGACAAACTCTATTCCTTGTTCCATGCCTCCCCCAAAAATCAGAGGCAGTTAGCGCAGTGTGCGCAAGCAGTCGGACAGCGTCTCCTGGTGATAGGGCGTGTTTTGTCCATCCGCTGGGTGGCTTCAAGTGAAAGGAGCGTCAGAGCAGTCTGGGAAAACTACCGAGTGCTT